AGGGTGTGTACCCCTATGAGTACATGGATGGCTGGGCCAAGTTCGCTGAGACCAGACTACCCCCCATCAGAGAATTTTACAGCAATCTGACCAACTCGGCAATATCCCAAGATGATTACTCACACGCTATTAATGTATGGAATAAACTAGGTTGTAAGAATCTGGGTGATTATCACGACCTGTACTTGAGGACAGATGTACTGCTGTTAGCCGACGTGTTTGAGACGCTTAGGCGGACATGTTTCAAGCAGTATAAACTCGACCAAGATGGTATTACACCAGTCCAGGTCTGTCGGGATGCCTTGTTGAAAAAGACCGGAGTTAAGTTGGAATTGGTCACCGACACGACATGCACTTATTCGTTGAGAAAGGCTTGCGGCGGATCTCCATGGCAACCAAGCCGACGCGAAAGCAAATAATCAATAATGCATTGAAGGGCTACGACCCTAGCAAGCCAACCAATCACATTCTCTACCTCGACGCCAACAACCTGTACGGCTGGGCCATGAGCCAGTATCTACCCACAGGGGGATTCGAATGGGCGTCACATGAGGTTGATGTTATGAGCATCGCACCAGATTCGAACAAAGGTTATATCCTCGAGGTTGACTTGGAATACCCCAAGGCATTACACACATCACACAACAGCTACCCCCTAGCCCCCGAACGTATGAGGGTTAACCCAGACTGGATGTCTGAGTACCAACATAACTTGTTAGGTGGGCGGGTGGTAGACGTTGAAAAACTCGTGCCCTAACTTAATGAATAAGACCAAGTACATCGTTCACTATCGCAACGTACAGCTGTACATGTCGTTAGGTATGAGGCTGACCAAAATACACAGGGTGCTCGTGGTTCAACCAGAGCCCATGGATGGAGCCTACATCAGAATGAACACAGACCTCCGAAAAGCTTGCCACCAGTGACTTTGAGAGAAATCTCTACAAGCTCATGAACAACTCGGTGTTTGGTAAGACTATGGAGAACCTTAGGAAACGCGTGACCGTGAAGCTGGTTCGGTCGAATGAGGAAGACAAGCTCAGGAGACTGATAGCAAGTCTGGCATTCAACCGTAGTAAAATATTCACCGATGACCTAGTTGCCCTACACATGAAGAAAAGCCACATAAAATTCAACCGGCCTGTTTACGTGGGGATGAGCATCCTCCATTTATCCAAACACCTGATGTACTACTTTTACTACAACGAGCTTAAGAAACAGTACGACGACAGGTGTGAAGTGCTGTACACTGATACGGATTCCCTGCTGATGGAGATTCGAACCGAGGACGTGTATGAGGACATGAAAAAACACCTCGATTTGTACGACACCAGCGACTACCCCAAGGACCATGCCATACACAGCACGGTAAATAAAAATGTCCTAGGTAAGATGAAGGACGAGTGTACTGGCACGCCCATAGCCGAGTACATAGGTTTGAGACCTAAGATGTACTCCATCCTGAAGGCCGACAATAGTGAGATCCGGAAGGCTAAGGGTGTTAAGAAGTATGTGGTGAAACAACACATCAAACACGCCAGATTCAAGGAAGCCCTGTTCAAGACCCGTACCTTTAGACATTAAATGAACACACTTAGAAGTGATGGCCATAGGATATACGGACTGACTATAAACAAGACGTCCCTGTCGCCGATGGACACTAAACGTTGGATAGCTATTGATGGGATAAACACGTACGCGTACGGGCATGAGAAAATTGAACCAAGAACATAGGTGTATGTAGGCGACATGTCACGGAACCAGAGAAAGTTTGAGGCTATTTACTATAGCCCGCGTGGGTACTGGAAAGGAGCTAGCCCTGTAGATAAGCTGGCTAAAATGGCGCGAGTACCCCCGGAGGAAGCCAAAGCGTGGCTTGAAAAACAAGCCCTGTGGCAGATCTATTTGCCGCCACCACGCTACGTGCCTAGAAGGAGGTTCGGTATTTACATACCTAAGAGCGTTCACCAGGCAGACCTACTGTTCCTACCCCACGACAAGAGGCACAAGTATGCCTTAACCGTAGTGGACGTAGCCTTGACCACGAAAGATTCTGCCCAGGTAGCCAGAGGATTCGAACGTATATACAAACGCAGTCCGCTGACGTGGCCAACAGAGCTGCAAGTTGACCCCGGGCGGGAGTTCATGGGTGCCGTGTCACACCTGTTAGACAAACACGATACAAAGGTCAGGCGTGGTACGGCTGGAGCCCATCGCAGCCAAGCCATAGTTGAGAGATTCAATAGGACTTTGGCTGAGCGCGCTTATTCGGGCATCAGTATGCGAGGGAGATGGCAACCCCGGGAAAACGATCAACTGAATGGGTCGTGAGGTTACCCAAGGTGGTGTCAGCAATCAACCATGAAGCCACCCGTCTCACCGGCAAAAAACCGGCAGACGCTATCAAAGTAAAATCAATAGTGGCAGAGCCGGCTGCTCCATTGCGTGGGAAAGAGAAACAGATACCAGATAGGGCCCTAGTGAGATATCTATACCAGCCTGGGGAACACGAGGGTCATAGCCGTAAGCGAGCCACTAACCCAATATGGTCAATCAAAACTTACAACATAGATAAAGTTGACATGAAATCAGACGAGCCTAACTTGTACTACTTGAGGGATGGGCCAGGCAGAGGGTTTGTAAGAGAAGAATTATTGATCGTACCGTACGGCACAGTGTTACCTCCAGTCAACACGGCATAGCGGCAAGTGGAGCGATGATGCAATGATGCAATCCCAGGATAGACCCGTTAAACCAACATACTTCAGCCAAGTCCCCGGTAGCTCAGTCGGTTAAGTGGCGCGGCTGTGAGGTATACATGTGAAGTTCGTATCCCGCTGGCGTCTCAAACTTTTTTATAGTAGGGGTAATGGTAGCAAGAGCTAAGGGTCCGACCAAAGCCTTATCTGTGAAATAAGGCTTTGCAGAGGCTTTTGTTGAAAGTGATCCAAAACCCCCATTGTATATACTACTCTGTCTAATAGCTGAAATTCAGACAAAAAGTCTTCTCGGGACAATTTCCACCTTTTCAAGATAACAACAGTAAATAGTTTTTCTTCATTTGGAATACTCTTTTCTTCTTACTGGAATTATACGTCCAACTGACATAAAACTTAAATGAACATTATATTGAATGTGGAATTTTAACCAAGTATTTCATCAGGTACATATTTTTACTGTAATTTTCTGTTTGAACACTGTTTATTGCAGATAGCTTTTGGGGTATTTTAGCTGGATGCATGAGTTTGGTGCTACTTTAGTGTAGTTTAAAGATGAAGTGCGAGTCTATTTACAGGAAAGCGTAATACCTCCCAGACACAACCAAGGAACAACCATTTTCAACGTTAATAATATGTCAAACTGCAACGTTGATTCCACGTCGGATATCTACGTCTAAACAACTTTCATATACAACCACGGAACAACCCATTTTCAACGTTAATAATGTGTCAAACTTCAACGTTGATTCCACGTCGGATATCTACGTCTAAAAAACTTTCATATACAACCCTTTTTCAACGTTGATAATAGGTCAAACTTCAACGTTGATTCCACGTCGGATATCTACGTCTAAAAAACTTTCATATACAACCTATTTTCAATCTAATTTCAACGTTGAGAACCAACCTATTCTCAACGTTGAAACAACGTTGATGTGCCAGCTGGGTTATGTTTATCTGTCTTACGGCTGTTTGTATTCCACGTTAGTCAAATCACGTGCGTGCCACATATACCTTCGTGGCATACTCGCGACTCGCCATCGATGTTTCGGTCAAACTAAATGACATAATCTCACGTTCACAATAACAACGTTATCGTAAGTTTTCTGTAAACGCGATTATTTGCGATAGCTGGAATAGTTATATACTACGGATGACAGTCAAAAATCAGGGGGTGGCTGTCTAGTAAATTTACTCAGGTAAGAAACGTTACTTTCTTCTACTTTGACATACCATTGCTATGTTAACTTTAATCTATTGTAAATACCTTAACTATAAGTTACCACCCATGGCAGTACCTTCAGGTTTATGTGGAACGAGGCATCCCTTAGTATGTGTCTCATATCTTCTGTATTACAGTTTAGGATTGTTTATTTAATACTGATTGACACTACACTGTTTCGTGACTAGTATAGAATGTATAGAGTGTGTCGGATATTTTAACTATTGTATTACGTTGTGAACACTATGCTGTCTTGTGACTGCTACGGAATGTAGATTGTATGAATGCTCACTGGGGTGATGTGTAGAGTATTGAACTATTGTTGTGTACATTGGAATATGTATCGTGATGAATGTAGTATGTGTCGTGTGTAATGAATCTACATGTATTTTGATATCTGATTGCATTGTGAACATGTTCTAATAACTAATTGTAAACCATACTGTAATTACCTGATTATACCAAAATCGTTCAGTGACTGCTGTGTAATAAACTCCTTGTTTATTTATTCAGGTGTTGTGTTGTGTGTGGGTTGGTATGGGCAGACCTCTTGCAAAGCGAGCTGATTCCCCAAAACTCGCGTTTTAATAGGGGTTGGTATGGGCACCACTTGGTATACCACATTCTTGCGACCTTTCTTTTATATATTATTAAATATATTATTGTGAAGTTTCTAGTTCGACTCCGTATAATACGTTCATATTATTTCATTGAAAACAATTGGGTCTGTGTCTATCGACTACCTCAGTGACACGAAATCAAAATTTAAGAGATTTATTGTATAGTACAACGAATATTACAAGCTTCTGAACGCCACGCGCCAAGTGACTATACTTCCCTTTCTAGTTTGTTTTGTCAAACGCCGCACTCGGTACTATTCCCACTAAATGACAGCAGTATGTTAGTAGCCGAGTTTTGGGCCACACAATCTAGTGACTGATACATTGAGCATCGAGCGATGCAAATGGGATGGAATGACATGAACTGCCCTTATGTTTTAGTATTCTGTTAACATTACTTTGAACATCAAAATAAGTAAATAGTACATAAATACTCACACTTCAGCATGAAAGACCTGTCTACAGCTCCTGGCTTCAGCAGATGAACACCACATTCTCTGGCTATACCTGAAACACCAGCCGTCACATCACCATTCAAGTGTGATGAGACATAGGGACTTTTGATGTTATATCATGAGTGAGGTGATACTTGATAAGTCTAAACCAAAACAATCATTCGATATAAAGATGCACTGAGATCATATTCGGGAACCAGTGGAGTAGAAAACGGGTATTCGAGTCTCATATTCAATCTTCTCATTAAAAGAAGGAAAACATGGATTTACCAAGCAAGAAATCTATTGTTTTGGCATCCCTCTTCTCGGTGGTTTCTTTCTCATCAATGCGCTGAAAGTACAACATACATGTATATATCATGAGATCAAAAATATCTTACCATTGTCTGTGTCACACGTGTATTATTTCCAACAAAGACATGTCTGTATGCATTAATTAATGCAGTTATGAATGATTACACAACCGCGACAAGAATATTGGTGGCACACAACAGGTCACGAATAAGACTTGTGAAATGAATGAAAGTGAAACATTCTGCTTACAATTTAGCAACTGCAATGGGATGAGTACATAAACTACCAGGTAAAAGAACGAACCTTTAATGTAATTGTATAAAAAACAACCGCTGGTATAGGTTTGAACCCAAGCTGAAAACATACGCCCAAACAAAACATGATCCTGATAAGACCGCAGCTGTCCAAACAAAAAGCAAAACATGGAAAACGTAATTGTGGGACATACACCTGCAATATTGTGGCATAAATACTGATGTTGGACAGAGCAAGCATGCAGTAACCTAAACAAACCACCACGAATGTGCCAAAACTTACGCAAGTGCAACTAAACAGGGCGATTGGTTTGGCAACAATGTCAGCTAGTAAGAGCCTTCAACTGCAGCCAGACCACCATCAACAAATTGGTAAAACTGCAATCAGCAAACAAGCCAGAACCACGACCACCTAGGATCGGGAAGACCAAGAGTCACGACACCTGCCAGCATCTGGCAGATCTACCTCCGAAACAGATTGTGATGGCGACGTCAACGTTGGGGACAGCACTAGGACACGCCATCAGACAGACGAACAGACCTTTGACGACTTGGAATGCCTGGTGTACAAGTCTACTGGTCCTTCCATGGAATGGCCTTGACCCGACTACACTGTCACCAACGTCGGTGGCAGTGACGTGACTGGGAGTGCTCTTCAAAGATGAAGGTCGGCTCAGTCTGTTCAGAAACGATGGCAGAGAATGAGTTTTTCGACGTGGAGGAGAGCGAATGTTCAAGAAGTTCATCCGTTCGATGGAGGGGGCGGCATTTGGCCAGAGATAAAAAATACTGGAAGAAATAGGAATGCCCAGCGATACTTGGAGGAAGTGTTTGATCTTTTGTGGCGCCCTTTTATTTGACAACAACCAAGGGGAGTTATTTTGCGGCAAGACAATGCAAGCCTCACACCGCCAAAATTGTTAGAGAATACCTGCAAAACGTTAACGTCAACGCATTGCCTTGGCCAGCGCGTTTTCCAGAGTTGAACCCCATTGATCATCTCTGGAATTATCTTGATCTTCATCTGAGACTCTTTGTACCACTCCCTGCGCCCCAGCAGGAACTTGAACGGACTCTCTTGGACTTAAGGAATAGGATTTCTGCTGACATCATCCGCCAATTGACGACGCCAATGAGGGGACACACACATCTCATTTTGTCACTGTTTATGCTGTTTTTGGTTTTTAATGAACTCTGAATACTGTTTTGTCCCTTTTACTCTTTCTAAATGAATTGCTGGAAATACAAGACCAGCATCACAGGTAATGATCAGTGACATAATTACCAAAAAATATTTCTGTTTGTAAACTAATTATCATAAATCTCACATAAGGCTTTGTTTCTATTTTGGGGTCAAGTGAAGCCTGTGATAGTTTTCTTTTGCCTGGTAGTTTATATATTTAATAACAATGCGTTAAATTAAGGGGAGTTACTGACATATCTAAAGGTATGAAACATGCAGATACAAGCGACAAAACTATTCTATAATTAGAATAATAGACTCACCTTGTTCAAGCTTTTGATTTCAGAATTAAGCATGTCTGTAAGCTTTGTCAGGCTTCCAATTTCCTTCTCATCTGAGTCGATTTTCGTCTTTAGTTCTTCCATGTCCTGGAACATAAGATAATGATAAAGTTGTTCATCGTCTAATGGAGGGTGTTATCGGTGCAATAAAGCAATCTGATACACTTGGTATCCAAATCTGAAAATTATGCAAACTACGCAAATTACGTCAATACACGAACTATTTTCACAAAACTCGATACACACCATGCAAATCCTAAAAGGTAAATCTTTCATTGATTACGTCGTGGCGTTTTTACAGTATTTTTCCAGTTTGGTGGGCGAGTTTGTAAATAAACATGGCTTCCACCATTATCAAAATGGGTGATTACGTAAGAATTGATGATCGAGGATATGGTGTCGTTACTGCAGTAATTTACTTTGGGAACCCTGAAAGTGAGTACTTCGTTCAAAAGGAACGGATTATGAGGCACAATTAAAAGGCGATCGTCTAAGAAAGGTGCCAACAAAGGATTTCACATTAAAGCAGACGACAAATCGACTCCGCCAGGTATCAGAAACTGATAGTGATGAGGTGATGCCCCGCAATAAAAATAGAAACACTGTCAAGAAAACCCTGTACAATATTAGACGTTTTGAAACATTTCTGGCAGCACAAAATTAAAATAGAAAAAATCAAGAATTTTCTCAAGAACGTTCTCAATTTCTGTCAACATTCCTGATTAGCGTAAATGAAAAGGATGGGATCTTATCTTCTTGTTCATATGATAGGTTCTTTTTCCCCGTTGTCTGTGTCACAGAGGTATTATTTTCAACAAAGGCATATCTGTATGCATTAAATAATGCTGCTATGAACGAGTACACAACCGGGACAAGAATATTGGTGGCACACAACAGGTCACGAATCAGACTTGTGAAATGAATGAAAGTGAAACCTTCTGTTTACAATTTAGCAACTGCAATGGGATGAGTACATAAACTACCAGGCAAAATAACGTACTTTTAATGTAATTGCATAAACAAACCCGATGGTATAGGCTTGAACCCAAGCTGAAAACATACGCCAAAACAAAACATGATCCCGAAAAGAACGTAACGTCTCCAGTGCGTTAAACTTTGTTTGTTGGTTATCTAAAGCCGCACTCAGCAATATTACAGCAGTCTGTGAATAATGATTCTTGACAAGATCCCCAGTAATCAATATCATGATCTTGGTGGGGATGTTTTGTTTGTTTGTTGTTTAACGCCGCACTCGGCAGTCTTACAGCTGTATGGAGGCGGCCTGTAAATAATCGAGTCTGGATCACACAATCCAGTGATGCACAACATGAGCATCGATTTACACAACTGTGATACGATGACAAGAGCCCACTAATTCAGTCAGCATGACCACTCGATTCCGTTAGTTGCCACTTACAACAAGCATTGATTGCTGAAGACCAATTTTATCCCTGGTCTTCGCTGCTCGAAGTGCTCTAACCCTGACTGCTCGATCCCATCAGTCGCCTCTTAGGCAAGAAGTGAGTATGAGTATGATGTACTCTCACCATTTTGTGTTTCAGTTCTACGTCTGCCATAAAGCCATCATCATTCTGAGTACTCCTGTCTGAAACAACACAAAAATTCGGCATGGCCCCAAAGATTTAGAAGGATAGACAGTGGAACTAAATTTTGTGCATATTACCAACGCCAGAGGTTTGATGACAAATCATAAATCTTCACCAAACCGACTGAACTTCCAATTACAAATTCTTGTAAAGAAAGGCTGTAGCATACAGTAATAGTAGACACAAAAACATACACAAATGTTAGACAGAACATAATTAACTGACCAGCAATGACCCTGAAAAGATTACCTTTCACCGATTCTCCGCCCTTATCCATCGTCAAAATGGCACCAAATCCTGATACATTCGCTTTCAGCTTTGACAAACTGTTGGTGTTGAAGACGGCTGTAGGTACTGCATATGTTTGAGGCGCGGCAGTGTCCAGGCAGGTCCGAGTCATCTCCCCAACATATCTCTCCAGGTCCAGGATGTCTGACTTTGAGGCAAAGCGGAAGACATTGTTGATGTAGTCTAAAACCCTTGTGCAGGTCTTCTTGTATTCTTCACAGGCGGTGAGAAGAGCAGGCTGGGTTGCCTTTGTCTCCCTCGTATGATTTTCCAGATCGACGAGAAGTTCCTTCTCTCTTTGATCAAGTTGTGATCTCAAAGATTGGAAAATGTGAAGAATATTTTCTTTCAAGGAATTGTGTGTTTCGTCAGTGGATTCGGTTCCTTGCCTGATGCTCTGCATGTATGCCTGGTGGCGAGTCTGTAACGTTGATAGTTTATTCTTATGATATTCCAGTTGTTTTGTTACTACATCAGCAGCCGCATCAACCTTCTCAACTTCGTGGTCAGCATGATCTTCAAATCTGCATCTCGCACAGATTAATTTCCTGCAGCTTTTATCAAACAGATAAAGAGGGTCGTATTTATGGATGCTGCAAAATTTTGGAACGGTCTAGACTGTGAGTTCCATGTCACCGAAGTTTTGGACTACATGGTTTCTAGTAACTTTGAAGTTGCTGTGCATGTTCTGGCAGTATTCACAGAGTAACTCTTCACAGTCCTGACACCAACACACAGCCTGGTTGCCGTCATCTTCATGTGTACAGAGGAGTTCTGTGGGGCGATGTTTGAGCGTCAGGTGGAATATTTCCTTCTGTCTCACTGCGTCCTTCTGGAGGCTTGTGTCTGTGAGGTTAACCTCCTTCTCACATGTGGAGCATGATATCACACCACCAACTGCAGATGTCACACACGTCTCACATACAGCGTGTAGACAGGGCAGTAGGTAGGGGGCGGGTCCCTTAAGGGTAAACTGCTGCTGACAAACAGAACACTTGGGGAGGTCGTCCATCCTGGAAGACAGAAACCACATATTAGCATTCAAAGAAATAGTTTTGATTAACGTTGTGATCCGTATGGGTGATTGTCAACTAATCATTTGCTACACATAACTGTACGATTCCACATACGTCTATCCAGTGCACCAAATTATTTACATTAGTTTATGTCCTACTGAGCCAAAAAGCATCTTAACATACATTCAGTCTTCTGTCTGCGTCTATCGCAGTACAGCAATGACTTCCATCTAACAGCATAAATATACTGTAATACACCATAAAACACCTCCTTTCATAGATATCATTTAATCATTTTATCAAGCAAGTATATTGCAAGGTGACGGTATCGTGAATGTTGTGATAGTAGGTCGAAGATCTGATTAATCACTTCAAAATGATGCAGTTAGCGTCATGATGATAATATTCCTAAACGAATACTAACGATGTAGAAATTTCCAAACGAAATAATGTATTTTAAATTCAGAAATCACAGAAGAGACAACTATTAAGTTATAACACCCGATGTCCATTGCACGTAACCAGTAACCACAACACAACCATTTCCATATCCATGTGTAGGTCTTGAGACACCATGCACTGAACTCAAGTAAAGCATCTCAAAATACCTTCAGTCTACACATGGAAAATGGGCCATCTTTTATCGATGTATGTTATCTGCACTAACCCGTTAGAAGCGCTGTCCCGAGCTGTCCAACCTTAAAATGATAACGCATGACGTATGCATGGTGCGTGTTACTATTACACTTAGAGACAGTTAACCAGCATAGCCTTCAATTAACGACTGATATATTCATGATTTAAAACGTGACTTTTATAGTCTAACATATTTTAAAACAAAATACACCTCTTACCGCGAATAGTTGCAAAACTACTCAATCACTCACTCACTAAACTCACACTCACTGCAAAACATGTTAAACTTATTTCGCTGTAATAAATTCGTTAGAAACTGGGCTCTTTACTTGTCGCAAGTTGCTAACAAGACCGGTAGGGGGACGCTGGGCCTACGCTTACATAATTTCTAAACGGGAGTTATCGCCCCTGGGTACTAAAATACTGCCCATAACAACCCAACAAGCAAACATATCACCTAAACAAAAATCGCCTTTTCATTAGTGTGTGTCATCTTAACACAATCCATATTGGTATATATGTCTTTCCACACAGCATCTAAGGTAATCCTTCACCAACGAGTTTAATATGTGCACATAGTATCAGCAGTCAAGGTGGGTTGTGGTCTGCATGAATAACGTAATTCTTGTACGCTGATACACAACAGAGACAATTTGACAGTATCTCAAACGGTCGAGTGTCACATACCCACAAGATAACAATAGTGAGTCATGGTTATCGTGAATGAAGCCCGGCCTAGTTCTAAAGCGAAAGTAGGAATTTGTGTGGCAATTGTCTTATTTCCAGGCTATTTACTGCATAAATGAAAGTATAGCTGCCAATTTCATCATCGTGGCAGTATAGTGACATATAGAGACAATATTTTACACTTAATATCGAACAGTTAACAGTGTACAGGAAGATAAAGTGAGAGACGAAACACAACACACCTACCTGGACTGGTAACTCCCTCCACTGTACGTCACTTCCGGATGATGACGAGCGAACCTTATCTCATTACAGTTGTTTGATCTGATGCATAGTTGAAAGCTATTTTTATGTTGATTTAGAAGGAAACATATATTTCTTTTGCAAGCGAAGGTTGCCTCAAACGTATAAGTATATGTGTCATCATACAAATTATCTTCTGTTTAATTGTGCAAGTGTGCACTAGATATGAATACACAATGCCATTTAGAAAATGGTCAAATGTAACACACGTTATATTTGGAACTACACTTGAGCCATCTAACCAACTCAGCCGTCGCTCGCGGCTATTAGTAGAGTCGTTTAATTTTGTGAACTCTCACTTTGTAGGGTATGCTTTAACTTTTAAGTAGTAAAGTTGTACCTGTTCTCTCAGAAATGGAACGCAATGGAAGATTTGGAGCATAGCTGCTGACGACTGACCACTCACACGTCCAAAGCGAGTTTGAAAACTCTGTTCTAGCCAATATCTTGGCAAACATTATGTTCCTCATTCTCGCTAAGAATTCTTTATTATATTGTCAACAGACACTGACACTCAGACTCTCTCCCACACACGCACACTAGTTTGTGGTCCGACACTCTCTAGCCCCTTGTTTTCGTTGTTATCAAGCTGTGTTGTCGTTCTCCAGACCTTCTCCTTTCAACCTCTTTTAATCTTGAATCTGTGACTTCTTTCAGAAATGCAATCTATGAAATAGAGTACATAAAATTGTTTGTGTCAAATCTAAGGTGTTTCAACGTGGCCTAAACCCTCTTAGCATATATTATCTAGTATATCTAGATAAGTATATCTAGTGCGTTATAGATTTGGTGAATTTTATACGAGGATATTCTATTCATATCTTTAACTATCACTTGTACTTGTGAAGATCCGTGTTAGAATTGAACTGCAGCAACCCATTATTGTCGAAAGAGGCGACTAACGGGATCGGGTGGTCAGGCTCGCTGCGTAGAACGATGCTCATGCTGTAGATCAGTGGATTGCCTGATCCAGACTCGATTATTCACAGACCACTTCCATATAGCTGGAAGGCTGTTGATTGCGGCATAAAAATAAACTCGCCCACTAACTTTCGCACGAGGACGTTATTTCTTTGATAATGCATAAACTAGTCTCTACCTTCGACGTCTGTATGTGGTCTACATGTAACATATCTATATCAAAAGTTGCACTTACTTTCTGTATGTCTTCCCAAACTAGAGCACACACAAAATAACATGGTTCAGTACACAGCTGAGCCCTTGACATTCTGCTCAATAAATGTTGGTGCCGTGGAATTTCAAGTGGTTAAAGCAAGTTTCATCATAACGTAGTTCGATTCCCCACATTTGGACAGAAAACCCCATTTCTGATGTACCCCGCCGTGATAATGGTGGAAGTATGACTTCTAATCTTGACACTTATTTGACTGTTTCAATATTTGCAGATGTGGTATAGGATGAAAAGGGTATGATATGACGATTTCATTTCGCCAGGCATATCATCCCTCGACTACAATGTCAGCCCTCGAGGACTCCGGCCCTCGGGCTGATATGGTAGTCTCGGGCTGATACGACTGGCGAAGGAAAACTGTCATGTAATCACCTCTTAATATCTATGATCTGTCATACCGACCTGTCAACACCGTTTTACTTCAGTAGTTATACGTTAATGCGAAGGATATGTAAGTTGAAACTAGCGCTGCAGTGGAAGGGAAGCCATTTTGGACACTCAAAAAGGGACACCACTCTATCCTTTTAGACGAGACGAGACGGGTTCTGTCTCCAACCCCTAACTCTGTATACAATGTACTAACAACATAGATCTATCAAAATATCAACTTAACGTTTTTCATACGACATTTTACAAATGTTCATTGATTTCTTCCAGAATTAGTGCAATGAGTTGTGTAAATAGATTGACCAAAGAAATGATTGGGCTACAAGTAAGTGCTTAAATATTGACACATTGAAAAGATAATATTTTGTATTAAAATATATTTATGGAATACATCACGTGTTTGTCCTGACACAATATATGCACAGTGAAGCAATCGTATTTAACAGTTAATATACAGATAAAAATGCAGACATTTCAATTTTGGCTTCGAAAGTCCCAAAACTTTCAAGGTCAGTTTCGATCCACGAAATATTAATCGTAGAATATTTGTTGTTTTGAATACTGGTTAAATTTTACAACAATAACAAGTTGCTAAAGGGATGGTGTAAATCCAGCTAGAGTCCATGTAGGTAGCAAAGGGACTGTAAGTCCCCATGGTTCCTCGTATGGTGATCTACCAACAGATGCTGGCGATCTAAAGCCCGTGTTTTATATCGTATTGTCTTCTTTAATTTCACTGTTTTAGTTTTACATGCTAGTTTTATGTTCATATCTGTGATACTCTAGTATTTTTACTGTCCATCGTCGACAGGTTTAATTCTTCACAATGTTTTCATGTTTGTGTTGTATATATTGTTTTCGTCACGATATGGCTGAGATATTAAATTTCACAAGAATAACCAGTTGCTAAAGGGAGGGTGTAAATCAAGCTGGGGTCCATGCAGGTCGCAAAGTGACTGTAAATCCCCATGGTCCCTAGTAGGGTGATATACCATCTGATGCTGGCGATCTGGGGCGGTGGGGTAGCCTAGTGGTTAAAGCGTTGGCTCGTCACGCCGAAGACCCGGGTTCGATTCCCCAAATGGGCACATGTCCTCATGGTGTCACCCGCCGTGATATTGCTGGAATATTGCTGAAAGCGGCGTAAAACTTAGCTCAGTCAGTCAGTCAGTCAGTTGGTGAACTATAGCCTGTTTTTATATTGTAATGTCCTAAGTAGTATCAACTTATAAGTCACACGCTAGTTTTAAGTTTGTGATATTCTAGTACTTGTACTCTCCTTCGCAGACAGATTTTAAGATATAGATTAAACATTTAACATGGCCCTTGTAAGTCATGATACGGCTGAAATACTGCCAAAGTGATTATAACCTTTAACTCACTCACTCAAGTGTGGTTTATGCATACCCTTTTGTTCCACTATGAGTCAAACCAGGACAAAAGAATCAGAAATGAGGGATGCGACAACAGGTGAAGGATGACCTCAACCATATCTAGATGTTGTTTGTGGCCGTCGATGCGTTCAGTAAGTGGTATGAAGTTGCCATCATAGGCTCTACAACCGCGTCGACGTTTGCTGCCGACGAGTTTAGGCTAGTCATGGAAATAAACGGCATCAAACATGCCAATCACATCGCCGCTATACCATCCTGCCAGCAACGGATCAGCTGAACGATTTGTGCAAACACTGAAACAAGGTATTAGGACTCAGAACAAAGATGTCGGTTTTCCGCAAATGGTGTGTACGTTTCTAATGATGTACCGAAACACACCTCACACTACGACAAATGGTGTTTACGTTTCTAATGATGTACCGAAACACACCTCACACCAGGGCAAATGGTGTGTACGTTTCTAATGATATTCCGAAAAACACCTCACACCACGACAAATGGTGTTTACGTTTCTAATGATGTACCGAAACACACCTCACACCAGGGCAAATGGTGTGTACGTTTCTAATGATATTCCGAAAAACACCTCACACCACGACAAATGGTGTGTACGTGTCTAATGATGTACCGAAACACACCTCACACCACGACAAATGGTGTGTATGTTGCTAATGATGTATCGAAACACACCTCACACCACGAAAAATGGCGTGTATGTTCCTAATGATGTACCGAAACACACCTCACACCACAAGAAATGGTGTTTACGTTTCTAATGATGTACCGAAACACACCTCACACCACGACAAATGGTGTTTACGTTTATAATGATATACCGAAACACACCTCACACCACGACAAATGGAGTGTACGTTTCTAATGATGTACCGAAACACACCTCACACCACGACAAATGGTGTGTACGTTTCTAATGATGAACCGAAACACACCTCACACCACGACAAATGGTGTGTATGTTGCTAATGATGTATCTAAACACACCTCACACCACGAAAAATGGCGTGTATGTTCCTAATGATGTACCGAAACACACCTCACACCACAAGAAATGGTGTTTACGTTTCTAATGATGTACCGAAACACACCTCACACCACGACAAATGGTGTGTACGTTTCTAATGATGAACCGAAACACACCTCACACCACGACAAATGGTGTGTATGTTGCTAATGATGTATCTAAACACACCTCACACCACGAAAAATGGCGTGTATGTTCCTAATGATGTACCGAAACACACCTCACACCACGACAAATGGTATGTACGTTTCTAATGATATACCGAAATACACTTCACACCTCGACAAATGGTGTTTACGTTTCTAATGATATTCCGAAACACACCTCACACCACGGCAGTGGTGTGTACGTTTCTAATGATGTACCGAAACACACCTCACACCACGACAAATGGTGTGTACTTTCCTAATGATGTACCGAAACATACCTTACGCCACGACAAATGGTGTTTACGTTTATAATGATGTACCGAAACACACCTCACACCACGACAAATGGTGTGTACGTTCCTAATGATATTCCGAAACACACCTCACACCACGGCAAATTGTGTGTACGTTTCTAATGATGTACCGAAACACACCTCACACCACGACAAATGGTGTGTATGTTGCTAATGATGTATCTAAACACACCTCACACCACGAAAAATGGCGTGTATGTTCCTAATGATGTACCGAAACACACCTCACACCACGACAAATGGTGTGTACGTTTCTAATGATATACCGAAATACACTTCACACCTCGACAAATGGTGTGTACGTTTCTAATGATGTACCGAAACACACCTGACACCACGACAAATGGTGTGTACGTTTCTAATGATATTCCGAAACACACCTCACACTACGACAAATGGTGTTTACGTTTCTAATGATGTACCGAAACACACCTCACACCATGACAAATGGTGTGTACGTTTCTAATGATGTACCAAAACACACCTAACACCACGACAAATGGTGTGTACTTTCCTAATGATGTACCGAAACATACCTTACATCACGACAAATGGTGTTTACGTGTCGAATGATGTACCGAAACACACCTTACACCACGACAAATGGTCACTACGAAAATAAGATGGTTTCCGGTACACTGAAAATGAGAAGAAACGACATGGAAACCACCAATTCCAGTTGTTTTCCATGTAGTTTCCAAAAGTTTCATTGTGGTTTCCATGAAAACTGAAACTGAATTTTGCACCATTTCCGGCTGGTTTCCAGTGCGATTCATTACCCTCTCCTCCAAGCCGGATCCAGCTGATTTCCGTGTTTTCGTTTATTGTAGGTTTCAACCTGGTTTCCGTTTTTTCGTTTATTGTAGGTTTCAACCTGGTTTCCGTGTTTTCGTTTATTGTAGGTTTCAACCTGGTTTCCATGTTTTAGTTTGTTGTAGGTTTCAACCTGGTTTCCATGTTTTAGTCTGTTGTAGGTTTCAACCTGGTTTCCATGTTTTAGTTTGTTGTAGGTTTCAACCTAGTTTCCAAGTTATAACCTAGTTTCCATTAAAACTGAAACTACATTTTGCACAAGTATCTGGATGGTATCCATGTCGGGACTTTACCCACTCGTCCATGGAGGATCCTGCTGGTTCTTAGTTTATTGTTGCTTCCAACCTAGCTCCCAGCTTATAACCTGGTTCCCATGAAACTGAATCTGTTGTGCCGGCCCCTTATCCGCTCCTCCAGAAAAGAGATTGTGTTTCATTCAACACACATACCAAATCAGGTATTTTATACAATTGCACAATGGTAAAACCTTCAGGATGACAAATAAAAGAATAGAACACAAAGTCATGATAGGTTTATTTACATTCAACAATTTGCTGATAAACAAATGATATTTGGAATGTTCACATTAATAAAAACTGAATTTTCAAAATGCATAAATAATTAAGAGCAATAAGGGAATAAAAAGCAGTGAATATGGAATGTTTTCCTAAACTCATCAATGTAGATGAACCCATATTATTTGGTTTTCCAATTTGAGAAATGTTCACTCTTTCCCCAAGAGAGGAAGAACTTTCTGCTTCTTCTTCTCCGGCCAGTCAATCGTTGTTAGGACCTTCTTCCTGCTTTCCAGCTTCTGAAATTTAGAAAACAATAAACCATCTGTACAAACAAGCATTCGTCAACATTATCGCTAGCTGAAGAAAGGAAAACTGTCCAATGTTCCTTGAGCTTGAGGAAAAGTAAACTGTAACCACTGTCCAATAAGCACGAAGTTCAATAAATCAAAACTGATCATTTGACCTGAAAAGTGATAACATTTTCAATCGCAGAAGAAGTTAGTGAAATTTGTAAGAGTAGAGTGACAAGTGAGAAAAGGACATATTTCGTTAGCTTGGGTTGGACATTTGATGACTGACAAAAAAAGATTTTCTTTCACTAAATAACAGTTGTGACTTATAGAAAGCATTGACATTGAATTAATAACATCTCTTAGGAATGCACACTAAATTCATTCTATCATTGCCTATTTTTCTGAGAAATTCTCATGTGAAAGCTATAACTTATTTTCTGAATGTTACATACATTATGCTTTGATATTATATGTATAGAACTAAGAATTATCTATTATTTTGAAACTAATGTGAAAAGAAATGTTTGGGTTTAAAAAATAATGTGGGGTCATTCTGGCAGGCACGAAATTGAATGGGTCATAGGCGGACCTCCATAACTAATATCTCATACTGCTATTTAGCTATTTAGTGGGGTGTTGTTAATAAATTGTTAATTGATCTGTGCAAGGTGAAATATGTCCAGACCAAAACATAATGTACATTGGCGCTTTACTATGTACTATTCAAAACTATTTTAGCTCCATATTTCTAATTATACATTGCACGTATTAAACAGTGTTTATTTTGAAAGTTCTTTGGAATATCAGTGGACATTTTCAAGAAATTACATTAACTTGATGTTTTTTAAAAATAAGGTTTTCCTTAAATTTGAGGACAAAGGCCTCTGCTTTCCCACTTATTTGTCTTCTAGGTGAACGAACCCTCTTGTTCGTCCAAACCGCCAAACTGCTTCTGAAAGGAGATGTGTATAAGTCGAAAATATTTCAAGTTGAAGTTACGAAAATAGTGGTTGTGCATTTTTATGTATTTTTTGGATTCAAAGGATTTACATTATTTGGATAATTTTATGTACATCATTTACTGAAGGGTTTGGATTACACATACCTGTTGCAGGTCAAGATCAGTTAGTCATCTTCAGTTTTTCCAACGCTGCCCCAATGGAATGCTGGAAATGTAGAAATTAAGGGGAAAATCAGGAACCGTCTAAGTGATATTGTACTCTTGATAACAATAAGGCATGAAAATAGAAGAATAAATATCAATTTGCAAGGTGTAGATATGCTAATATCAAAAGAAGCAAAATTAACAAGTTCATATAATTTTAGGTTGGCAATGTACATCAATGTATCCCCAACATATCCTATTAAATGTTCTATATATCCAACTTTCTTTACAAACTTCTTTTGTGGATCTAACAAAATCCACATCTCTTCATTCAGAGTTAACATTCTAAGTATAAAATTGTTTACATCAGATGATTAACTTAAATTACCTCATACATCAGTAATCTATCCTATACTGACTTGAAAACCTTTTAAAAACAGTTTCCAAATATATTGTGTTGACAATTTATCCACTCAACAGCATTACAGTATCATGATAAATACCATCTTAAAAGTTGGCTGAAAAATATTTTCGATATTTTTTGGTCATAGGCTGTTTTGTAACTCTAATTAACTAGA